GGAGTCCACCCCCTCTGTTTAAGGTTGGTTGTACTTTCTTCACATGAATGGCTTCCTTCAAAACCATTTTAAACCACCTGTCTTCTTTGTCCAAAATGTGAACATTGTGGTCCTCAAACAAATGTCCTTTGTCCTTAAGGTGTAAATGTACAGCCAAGTCTTGTCCAGGGGAGGTAGGCCGTCTGCTTTCAGCCATGCATCTGTGGAGAGTTTGTTTGGTTTCTCCAATATAAAGATCACAGCATTCCTCAATGCATTGAACTGCATACACCACTCAGTTCAAAGTTTTTAACGTTTTTAACTTTGTTGACTATGGTCTGGATGACTGAACATCTTTACCAGCACAATGAATGCATTGCAACTGTCCAACCAGGAGTGCTTTCTACTGAGGACTGCTCTACAGATTCATGCTTGTCCCACATTGGCTAGAAGTGAGTATGCACCCTGCTAAACACATATTGAGTCAAAAACTTTCGAACAATTTTATTTAAAAAATAATAGTAAGAAATAAAAGCAACTCTCTTCAAAAAAACATCTGGCATTACTGAAATTCTCAGAGAAAAGAAAGTAGGCACAACTGAAAAGCTGGTGAAAAATGTATGAATCCTCTTTCTCAATGTCTGGGATATTTGAAAAAATTTTCTATCTGGAAAAGTAAATGTAGGTACCACCATTAGATCAGTGTTATATCCACAGCATGGCAATCTGACACAAGTTATACAGTATGTGACATTAGTTGTCATCCTGGGAGTACATTCTTCAAAGGGTCTGTCAAAAAACTCTCAAATGAATAAAGAATGGGATCTCAATATCCTCAAAGAGCAACTTCTTCCAACCATACAAACAGTTTGATGATGATCTTTGGATTTTAGAGCATTATGGAGGATCATACAGTATAATGAAGCCAACTGATATCAAAGTGGCTGAAAGCCTGTGGTTATTTCTCACAAAGCAGATGGCTTAATACAAGCCAACAAACTATGAACATCTGCGAACATTGATGAAATGAGAAGGGTCAGGATGGACCCAGATGGTGATATCCAGCATCCTAGTGGAATTAGTTTCTGAAATCCCAAACAAAAACAGGAGGGAAAAAAAGGTCAATTGAATTTTTACATGGATTTGAATGACCTTTCTGCTGCAATTAGAATTTCTGTTAAGGATCTTTTATATTTAAAATAAACATATTTGTAGGTAAAATCTATTAAAAAGCAAAAATGATTGGGAGCGCCTGCGATGCAGGGGAGCCATCTGCAGACTCTTTAGTCCTGGATTCGGCCGTCACAGGTTCAAGTCCCCACCGGATGGCCTTTTTCTCATGTCTTCACCCTCTCTCTAATCCCATTTCCTATCTACCTACTTTCAAAAAGTACCAAGATAAGGGCCACTAGAACCTAAACAATAACCTTTCAAATAAATTAAAATGATTTGTTGTTATTTAGCAAAACATTGAAACAAACAGATAAACAACAAAGAATAAAAAGTAACAGACTAGCTACCGCAAAAGCTTTTAACCATGACAGTCAAGAGTTTATTGTTGTTGGGAGGATACTGTATATGAATGATGATGATAAAAGCTTTATTTTGATTACAGAGCCTCAACAAACAATAATGATGAAACAAAGGCAGAGAAGAACTAAAGCTATAAGGATACCAGACGAAACATGAAGCACCAAAGTAATCTAGAGAACAAGACTGCAGGATAACAGGAGCAATAATAGGTTTGGCAATGGGAGGACCTGGCAGAGGAATGTCTCAATAGAGGCTTAAATGATGGGGAGGGTTGGTTACTGAAATGCAAAACAGCAGATACAGATTGCAGCTGTAGGGGAAAGAAGGGAGATAAATTTAAATGAGGAGACTGGCAGAAAAATAACACTAAATACGCAGGTACTGACTACACAGAAAAAAACGGACCTAAAACAGAATTAAAACACGACAGAAGGGAGACAGTGAGAAAGCAATAAAAGGACTGAATAAATGGAAGATAACAGAAACTTAATAAGCAGTGACTGGTCATTAGGGGCAGGTGGGAGACAGATACAAAACAAGTATAACATATGATTTTAAATCAATATATTTAGACATATCAGTCTACCTTATCTGGATTCCATTAACTAACATGCAACGCAAGCAATCTGTTATGTAACTCAAGTATTTTTTTTTTGTTCTTTTCTGAGTCTACTTCCTACTTTTTTAAAATTAAATGGACCCAGATTTAGTGAAATCATTGGAATGTAAAGCACATTCTTTAAA